TCCACTGTCCACACTCTAAGGACTGTATTCTACTGTACTACCTGTGCCTACTCCCAGAAACCTCAAAAGTATTTGTTTTTCCATAGTTCTACCTGAATTTTGATCAGAAAATGATCACCTGATCCTGAGGTTACCATATGCAGAGATACACATGCCTGACACTGACAACATGACAGTTGCATAGCCTTGGCCAAATCATTTCACCTCTCCAGACCTCAGTTTCCCCTCTGTGTAATGAGGGAGCTGAACTATATGGTCTCTAGATCCCTTCCAGCTTAACATCCGTGATGAACAATAAGCATCAGGTATCTCACATCTGCTGCACATCTTCTGGGCTCAGCAGATGTTTGGCTATGGTGGGTGGGATCTAATGATCATGGAGGAGGGAGCACAGGTGCCTGAAACCTTCGTTCCCTTAGGCTAGGTCTCATTTCTATTTGACAGAGAAACTGAGGCAAATGGTAATAAAAGGCAACCTGATGTAATGGACAGAGCCTTGGACCTGAAGTCAGGAAACTCTGGGAGCAAATCCTTCTTTATATGTTGGCTAAGTGACCCTAGACTGGGGAGGGGAGGGAATCTGCAGCCTCAAGGCCACATGTGGCCTTCTCAGGTTTTTGCTCTATTTTGTATCCCAGTGCTTAGCACAGAGTTAGCACTTAATAACTGCTTGTTGATAGGTTGATGTTTCCGCATCTGTAAAAAGGACATAATTACATCTGTAACATTTACCCAACAGAGTTGTTTGCTGAGAAGATCAAGGGAGATAAGCTAATTAAAGTGCTTTCCAAATCTTAAAGCAGCATATATCAGTTGTCATTATCATGAATAATAAAGCATTTCTTCTGTGTCACTGAGCAAATTAGTGAAAAGCTCCAAAATTCACTCAAATCTATCTTAGCTAGATAAAATTCCCTATGAACAGTTTTAAATCCACAGCTTAAAGGATTTAGGCATTATTGTTAAGTCCTAAAAGTCAAATCACAAGGCCTGGAAAATATCTATAGAGAAACTCCTTCACTTTCTCAGGATTCCTTTTTTTTCTTTTTCTTGGCAGGGGATAGGAATGGAAGGTTCCTACTTCTGAGGGCAGATACATGTACAAAAAGCACATATTTTTCTGCCAGATTTGAACGAGCACTGACAGACTCTATCTAGAGCAGCTGAGAGAAGACAGCAAGGCTCTGGAACCTACAAGCCATAGGCTTCTTAAACCCTTCTCTTAGCTCAAGTCTTTTCAGAGAGCATGAGTTCTAAAATTCAGGTCTCTTGAGAGCCCTGGAGATAAGGGGCAGACCCGAGAGGCCCTCGGCTTCACATGAGCCTCAGAGAAGGCAGCCACTTTATAAAGTGAACAGAGAGAAGTGGTTGATGTTAAGGTCACACTGGCACTTAAGACGCAGCAAGTCCAAAGTTGATCTTATCATTGTTAAACTTGCTCCTCCTTCTAACAACTGTCTGTGGCACCACCAATCACTCTGTCTCCCATTTTTGAAACCTCCATGTTCTCTTACAAGCTGTCTTCTCCCTCGGTTTTCACATCCAATCAGTTGGTAAGCCCTGTTGATTGTACCTTTCCAGGCTCTAGCATATCCCTTCTCTCTTCCCTATTCCCATGGCTACCACTCTGGCACAGATGCTCATCACCTACCTGGACTACTTCAACAGCTTCCCACTCCAAGCCATCCATCATAATGCTGCCAGAATGTTTCCTGAGTATGTCTATGGATCTGTCACACCATTCCTCTGCTCCCAAATCTTCAGTGGCTCTCCATCACCTACTAAGTAAAATTTAAACTCCTTTGCCTGGTATTTAAGGCCTTCCAAAATCTGGAACTACACTACCTTTCCAGCCTCTCATATTACTTCCCTCCACACACTCTATTTACTCCAATGAAATTTAACTACTTTCTGCATCCTGAAAATGCTGTGTATTCTCATACTGCCCATGCCATCAGTCATGGTCTTCTCTATTCCTTGGCCACCCTACCTCCCCCTCTTTACATTCTGAAGGCCCAATAAGAATGCTATTGCCTCCACAAAACTTCCTTTAGGATCCCCTGAACCACTAGTTGGTGACCTTTCCCCTTGATCTTCAATTAACATTTAGTTTTACAATCCTTTAATGAATGCCCTTAACATATAACTGAGTAGTAGTTATCTGTGTTTCGTCTTACACCCAAACTAAAGTGAGAACTCCAGGTAGATAAGGATGGCATTGCCTAAATATAGCTCCCTAAGGACCTAACAATAGGAGTAGGTAGGTGGTACAGTGGATAGAGCGATGGGTTGGGAACCATAAAGACTCCTCTTCCTAAGTTCAAATCCAGCCTCAGACACTGACTAGCTGTGTAACCCTGGGCAAATCACTTAAACCTGTTTGCCTCAGTTTCCCCATCTGTAAAATGAGTGGCAGAAGGAAATAGCAAACCACTCCAGTATCTCTGCCAAAAATATCCTAAATGGGGTCATGAAGAGTAGGACGTGACTGAAAAATGACTGAAGGACAACAGCTAGCATAGTGCTCTGCACATATGCTTCATAAACGTTTGTTGAATGTATGAATGAGTAATACTTTGTATCAATAATTATCTGTGTCTATGTCTCACAATGTCAGCGGACTATCTGTTACCGAAACTTTGTATCATCTCCTAGAGCCTGACATATTTCTCTGTACAGAGTAGATAGACTGCTAAGTGTTTGTTGAATAAATGAGTCCTTTCTACTTCTCTCCACTCAACACTGTATACCACCCTAGGTCATGTCCTCAGCACTTCTTGCCTGGTCTATTGCAATAACCTCCTAATTGGTCTCCCCTCTCACCCAACCATTTGCTAAGTGCTTACCATGTGCCAAGCACTGTGCTACATGCTGGGCATACAAAGGCAGAAGACAGAAGTAGGTACTTGTAGCAGGAATGTACAATATATTCACATGTAAGAATAATACAACCAGGATAAACACAAATCCAAAACATAGTAGTTGGGTGATAACAAAGGAGAATCTCACTAACAACTGGGGAAATCAGGAAAGGCTTCTTGAAGGAAGTAGAACTTAAAATGATGATCCCGAAAGGGAACTAGAGATTCCAAGACACATGAGGAAGGATGTATTCTGAGTGTGAGGTACAGCCCATGCAAAGATGTGGAGGCAGGAAATGTAATGTTGTACATAGAGAATGGCAACAAGGCCAGTTTCCCATCCATTTTCCAAACTGTTGCCACATTGATACTCCTACAACCCAGATCTGACCGTGTATATCACTGACTCCTCATGGCCTCTAGGATAAAATATGAGCTACATGGCATTTGAAGTCCTTAACATTCTGGGCCCAGCCTAGCTTTCTAGATCCATTTCCCATTACTCACCCTCATACACTCTCCATTGCAGCCAAATCACCCTACTTGCTATTTCCCACACATACCATTCTCTCTCTCACCTCCATGACTTTGCACAGGCTGCCCTGCCCCCCCCCATCACCATGTCTGTAATATAAGCTCCTTGAAGTGAGAGATTACTTCAGGGATGAGGGGAGTCCTTTGTGTCCCTAGAAGGCAGCATAAGTACATGGTACATATTGGTGCTTAATAAAGGCTTGTTGAGTGACTGGTTGGAATGTTCTCCTTTCTCACCTCCACCTCTTGAAATCTTCAAGGCTTAGCCTAAATGCCTCCTCTCCTGGTCCTTCAGATACTGGTTCTCTCCCCCCAAACCCTTGAAATCATTTATCTTTACTTTGGATATATTTTGTATTAAACTGTATACATGTTCCCTGCCCCAACCCCCAGTAAAATGTAAGCTCCTGGAGGACAGAAACCGTTTCCTTTTTGCTTTTATGCATCCCTTAGTGCCATGATAAAACACTTATGTCATAGACTTGAATTAAATGAATAGAGGGCAACCTGTGGAAAGAGTGCTAGATTAAGGGGCAGCCAAGCAGTGGATAGAGCACCCACCCTGGAGTCAAGAGAACCTGAGTTCAAATCCAGCCTCAGACACATGATACTTATTAGCTGTGTGACCCTAGGCAAGTAACTTAGCCCTGATAGCCTCACCAAAAAGCAAAAAAAAAAAAAAAAGAGTGCTAGATTTGGAGTCAAAGAACCTGGGTTGGATCCCTCCTGAGTCTGCCAAATACTAGCTGCTGGAAGGACTTGGACAAGTCACTTAACCCCTTCTGGGTTTCCTCATCTGTAAAATAAGGAGTCTGGTGAAATATACCTGTGATCTAACATGATCCAGTTCTAAGAGTCTCAAATCCCTATGATCCAGTTCTAAGAGTCTCAAATTCCAAATCTAGAAATCAAAGAGGGTGAGAAACACAAACAAATTGAGACTGGGGAGTGAAATATTTCAACCACGCTTATCACCTAAAGGTCTCTTCAACAATGACCCATCCTTAATTCCTTAGCTTAGAAAATTACCTCATTGAATACAAAGAAGCTATAAACTAATGCACTTGAAACCACACATCTGTCACTCATTCTGAACTCAGGTCTACTCTCGCCATTTCAATCTCACTTGCTGCCTTCCTTTCTCAACAAGGCCAAGTTGCATGACTAACTTTCAACTGGAGACAGTGACTTTGAAATGTGAATGTTACAGATGACCAAACAGTGACAAACCCCCTTTATCTTTGTCTGCCTTTCAACAAGGTAACTAGCCATGCCAATTATTCCTGAAGTTTTAGACACAAAGATAAAGGTCAGAAATACCAAGATATACAACAAGGCTGTGCTGGGTTGGTATAATGAGGCTAATCGGAACCAAGAGCTCATGGAAATGGGGGAGTGTGATGTTAACTATTCTGACAGGTCCTCTGAGAAGTGACAGTTATTTGGGGGTGAAACAATAAGGTATGTATATGTGTGTGTAAGTATATGTGTATATATATGTACTGTGTACACACACACACACATACACACAGTAACTTGGGAAGTATTCTCCCAACAGAGGACCAAAGAGCTACTTTTGAAAAGAGGAACTCAGAAACCTCTTACCTTTCTCTGACGCTGGAGCCAGGTCAATAAAACTCCGGCATGTTTCACCTTTGAAAAGAAAAAAAGATTGATTTTAGAATCATAAAAGACAGTTCCAAGTTTTTGTCTTTTCTCACTACCGTTTATCCCCTGGTCTCAAGGGACCATGGTCAGTCCAGACTGTGATTTTGATCTTTAACTTAGATAAGTTCTTTTAATTACCATCCCCTTGTAATACATTCTGCTTTCTCTAGCCTAAATGTCCTGTGTAAGGAAGGGGTTTGGTCTGGCATTCAAAACCTTTCCCAATCTGGCTCAAATCTAACCTTCCAACTTTTATCTCACACTCCTCTTCACATTACTCTATGCCTTATAATAATAACTAATAATAATAGCTAACATTTATATAGTGCTCACTATGTGCCAGGCACTGTACTAAGTGCTTTAGTACTAAGTGCTCTGAGAAGTAGGTGGTACTATTAGCCCCATTTTATAGATGAGGAAACTGAGTCAGAGGAAAAGTGATTTGCCCAGGATCACACAGCTACTAAGTATCTGAACCCAGATTTGAACTCAGATCTTCCTGACTCCAAGTCCAGCACTCTATCCACTGAGCCATCTAGCTGGACTCCTCTTTGTCCCCTGAACGAATTCAGGGCTTTCTCATGCCTTTATTTCTCTTGTCTTTATTAGCACTCTTCCCTATAAAGTGAATGAGACCTCCCACCCTATCTTTACCAATTGATGTTCTACCAGCCTTTCAGGAGACTGCTCAAATGCTACTTCTTCTATGAAATCTTTCCTGTTTCCCCCAGGTGGAAGCAACTCCTCCTTCATTTGATCTCACAGCAATGTGGACTCTTCTGTACTTATGTACTTGGGTTTTTTTTTTAATCCATAGATGTCATCTTCTCCTACTAGGCTGTAGAGCCTTTGAAGGCAGCCTGCATTAGTGGCAGAATGCCAGCTGTGATATCAAGATGGCCTCAGTCTGAATCTTACTTCAGGTCCTTAATCACCAGGCCACCCTGAACAAGTCATTTGATATCTCTAAACTTCAATTTTCTCTGGAAATAATAACATCTATCCATGTTATCATCGTGGGTCAGTTTTGTATATAACTACATACTGTCTCCCAGATAGAATGTAAGCTCATTGCGGGGGGGGGGGCCTTTCTCTTTTCTTCTTATATTTCTAGATCCTAACACTGCACAGATAATTAATAAATATTTGATTGATTTCAGAAACCCCCCCAAAAAATAAATAATATCACCTACTTCATGGGGTTGTTATAGGTATCAAATGATGCAATGGATGGAAAATACTTAGCAAAACTTAAGGCACTATATAAATATGAACTATTACTGAAATCAGGGAGTTGGTCTTGTGTATAATTGTGCTAGCACAAGACATAAAAGAGGCACTAAATAATAGTTTGTTGAGTGAGTAAATAATTTATTCCTACAAACCCAGCCCATTTTTGCTCCTACCAATTCTCTATGCTGCTCTAAAGCTCCTTATCCTATCTCTTATCTTTCTACATGCTTAGAAACCTGCATTTTCCAGGAAATCTGTAAGAAGTATCTCACTCACAGATACCTACAAACAAACATTTCTTCATGCACTAATTGCAGCAATTATTGTTTGGGAGGTAGAATTGTTATTCCTATAAGATATGAATGTATTTTTGATGCAATTAAGGTCAAACTCTATACCTCACCCTAATCAGGGGTGGGGAACCTGCAGCCTTGAAGCCAGATGTGGCCTTCTAGGTCCTTGGATGCAGCCTTTCGACCGAGTCCAAGTTTTACAGAACAAATCCTTGCTGCCCAACCTATTCATTTAACAGATGAGGAAACTGAAGCCTAGAAAGGTGAAGAGACTTGGCCAAGAACATACAAGCAAAGAACAAAGCCAAGATTGGAACTCACGTTCCCTGACTTTAAACTCAGTGTTCTTTCCACTATTACATGCTGTTTCTCATCTTTCAATCTCACTTCCTTGCATGATTTAAACTTATTAAAACACATTTAATGAGTGACAATTCTGCTGTAGCTCAAGCATGCAAGCAATAAGCATGTATGAAAACTACTCACAATGTCACACGTACAAAGCACTGGGGACAAAAAGGAGACACTTCCTGCCCCCAACACGTTTATGTGCTGCTGGATGATCCTGTATTAGTAGCAATACAAAATCAAAGCAAAAACTACACAGTCCTAATCCATGAGGAGTTCACCAATGAAATGAAAAGACACTGAATCTAGTATAATTGAGTAATATACTTCCACCAAAGATAGTTTTTCAAATGGAAATTTGAATCATTTTGTTTCTTTTATTCTTAATTCTATCTTTTACTTCATATGTTTATCATCACTCATTGGAAAAGAGCAAGAAAAAAAAAGAATGGAAGAGAAAGTCTTGTTGAGTCATTTTTCAGACATGTCTGACTTTCTTTTGGAGTTTTCTTGGTAGAAAGAGTATTTTTTCTATTTTTTGTTATTTCTTTCTCCAACTCATTTTACAAATAAGGACAAACAGGGTTAAATGACTTGCCCAGGGTCATACAACTAATAAGTGTCTGAGGCCAGATTTGAACTCATGAAGATAAGTCTTCTGGACTGCAAGTCCGGTGTTCTATCCACTATACCACTGCCCTGAAAGAGAAAGAGGAAAGCCCAAATGGCATTAAAAAAAAAGACAAACAGAAGACAGTAACAAGGAAAGTCAGGGAGGTCAATAATCATAAAAAATAAGGCTAAAAAAATGGAAGGTATAAGTCAACTTCTGATTACCTGTCCAAAGGAAGGAGAAAAAGAAGCTTGGTTAGTATAAAAGAATGGTTAACCTTCCACAATTTTGCCCCCAGTTCTCAGATTTATTTTATATTATTCACATATTCTACTCTCCTCAAATTGAACTTTCCATGCCCCTAATATCTTCCTGTCCCCTCCCATTTATTCATTTGCATACATTATTCTCATGCCTAGAATGGATTTCCCTATATCTCTACCTGTCAAAATCTTTCTTTTCTTTCAAGGTTCCCTTCAGATGCTACATCTTCCATAAAGCCTTCCTTGATACGCCCCCCAGCTAGAAATGATCCCTTCCTCCTCAAATCTCTCATGCTACACCATTTGAACTTTCCTACAGATTTAATCATAGGCTAACTTGCATTAGAGTTATTTGTGTGTATGCCTTATTCCTTTCTGCTAGGCCTTAAGTTCCTTAAGGGTACTGATTTTCATCTTTATATAACCAATGCCTAGGACAAGGTCTTAACCATAGCAACTACTAAATAAATGTCTTGAATTGAATAATATTTAAAATTTTTATATTTTGTTTGGGGAGTACAGTAAGAGAACACATATACTGGACCACTCATCATTCAGTCCTAATGCCTCCTAGTCCACCCCTATTCCAGACATAGAAACAAAAAGAAGACAGGTATACAGTCCTGGCTGAGCAGTAGCAAATAGTAGAACTGCGGTAAATTTGTCTTAATCTTTGTTCAAATATCTATTTAATTTTTTCTGCCCCAAAAGTTCTACCTATAGAATTGTAAAAGCTCTGTGAGAGCAGGGGCCATTTCATTTTTTGTCTTTGAATACCAGTGCCTGATACACAGTAGGTGCTTAATAAATGTTTGTTGATTGAATGATCTATAGAAACTAAGGGTCATAGAATTGGAAGAAACCTTAGAAATTGTCCAGTCCAGTGGTTTCTAAATTTTTTGACCCTTTTGATTAATTTTTCCCCTGATAGGTATTGAGGAAGATGGGAGATGATTTTTTTTCCCAGTGGCACCTGTACAACAGCTGCCATAGGAATAGGTTATGACTGCCTTGAAGGTGTCACACTCACCTCAGAAAGGGAAAGACTGGGAGTCTGAACAACTGCAGGAGGCAAAGAAATAGGGAAGTAATAAGTGAAGGGCCCGTGGGGTTATGTTGGAGGTAAGTTCCATGGTTGGCTGTTGTGGGGAAGATGGGATGAGAACCATCTTCCTACCCTCCTACTGGTTGATCACAGCTCTTACAGTCAAGTTACAGCCCAGACCTCACCTCAGAGACCACTGCTTTAGGTATCCCCTTTATTTTTACAAATGGGGAAAATGAACATCAAAGAGGTTCGTGGCAAGTGAATGACGAAATGACTGAGGAAACAAAGGTTCAAGTTTCCAAGCATTATCAATTTATTAAGCAATGCACACCAATTAAATAACAAATCAGGACCGGTCACCTTCCTCAGCTTTGGCACTGGAACCCCAAATACAGAGGGAGACAGATTTTTATGCATTAAAAACAATTAATCAAATAAGACATATTCATTAAAAGAAAACAATTAATCAAGACACAAAGTTGGGTAATCTGATTTCTAACTGGAGGAAAGATTAAGGACTTTACAAACTGGGAGGGGGAGAGTGCACAGGTGCAATTCCCTGAATTCAGAAAAAGAGGTATCCCATTCCCTCCAAATGTCTATATTTAATCAAAAGAACATTGAAAAAGTAACTGATTGATCATTATGGAACCAGTTTACAGATAAGACATAATAATGGTAAGAAAACTCCTTGCATCAGTCTACGGATCTAACTGGGTCAATATAATGTAGCTCCTTAGTTAAAGGTCTCTAAACAGCAAGTAGAGGTGGTCCAGCTTCCCAGCCACACAAGACTAAGTAAAACAATGCAATAAGGTTTTCTCCCAATCTCCACAACTGAATACAATTTTCTCACAAGACAGAAACTGGACTAGACCCATAATTGAATAGAAAAGGAACCCAGCTAGCTCCAGAATTGAGTCACAAGATGGAGCCAGCGTGGTTCACTTAGTTCCACAATTAACTTTCTGTACTAATCCCCTCAAGTTAAGAGACTTGTTTGAGGTTACAAAATGAGTTAACAACAGAGTTTGAACTCAAATCCAAGTGCCTTGAGTCTATATTCAAAGGCCTTTTCATTATAGTATTCTGGTCTTTCCTTTCACCAATCAATCAACACATTATTAAGTACTTATTATGTGCCAGAAACTGTGTGCTAAGTACTAGGGACATAAAGAAAAAGTGAA